AGCTTGGTTGCTGAAGAATGTCTCCAAGATGCCCACTATTATTTCGGTCTCTCAAGGAAGGTCCAGGTCACTCTTCTTTTGAGAGGGAGAAAGCAATTCCTCCAACTCTTTGCACTTGGGTTGGCTAATAGACTATGGTGGACATTTCTATACAAGTTGTGGGCCTAGCCTTTAAGAGAACTGATGTTTTCCATTGCCTTTCTCTTGAAATACTTTCTATCAGAACTCCACTGCCATGCTGTTTGTGGCCTAATCCATAAAGCGAGACCACATGGAGACACGATTGAAAAATGCCACAGACCGGGGTACAAACCAATCAGTCGTTGAGAAAGTAGAGCCAGAGTGTTCCTTAGCAGTAAGGATGGCAAAGTACATGTCCCCTGCTGTCCTTTGGGCAAGTCATTAGGAGAGAGCAGCCTCTGAAAAAGGACACCATGCTTTGTCAAGGACAGGGTCAATGAAAAAGAGGACGATCCGCAACAAGATGAATTGGTGCAATGGCCGCTACAATGAACTGAAAAAATAACCAGCTGTAAATGAACAAGAGAATTGTATGTGCACCGGATCCGTGCACTGGAATGTGTAAGATGCAATGTTAACCGTGTAACCCCACGAGGGGAGTGAAGAACAGCACTGTAGGGGAGTGGATATATTAGATGGTGTAAGATACAGTAAACACACCCACACACCATACATAACAACAGTAGTAAGGGTTTGGGGGTGGGGAGGGGAGGAGGGGGAGGATAAAGGGAAGTGGATATCAAGGAGGTCAAGAAAAAGGAGGATGTTTTGAAACTGTTGTGGTAACAAGTGTACAATACTGCTGGAAGCCACCGAACTATGGAATGTTACCATATCTGTAAGAGCTCTCAATAAATGATAAACCAAACCAAACTGTAATTGTGACGAGGATACATGGCAATGTTTCCTTCTGTTGTACATAGGACTGCTACGAGTCATAGTTTACTCAATGACACCCGAGAGCAACAGTGACCCACATCACCTGTCAGCTACATGAGTGAGTCATCTTGGACATCCAGTCCGTCTTAGGCTTCAGTTGATTACATCTTTATCCACAGAACCATTTGGCTGAACTACATGAGAGACTCTGGGCAGTTAGCCATTAAACCGTGAGAGAGAACATTGACTTTTTGCTTTAAACTACTAATCTGGGCAATCTCTTGCATACCAAAGGAGCCCTGGAGCCATAGTGGTTTAAGCATTAAGGCTGCTAATAATACTGTCAGAAGTTCAAAGCCACAAACTGTTCCAAGGGCAAAAGATTGGGCTTTCTGCTCCTATAAAGGTTTACAGTCTCAGACACCCTAAGAGGCAGTTCTACTCCATTGTATAGAATCCCAGTGAATTGGAATCGATTCAATGGCAGTGGGTTACAAAGTCGTAGGTAACTGGGATAAGGGCACAGTGGAAAATCACAGGTTGAGTGCTCCTATCAATGTATGGCGATCCACAATCCTAACTTGGAATAAGATGACATTGGAGATTGTCTAAAGGATGTGACTCCAGGGATTCTTTTGCATTTTGGCTGCTGTCTGGAATTTCACAATTGGACTGATTTTCTATCATTACTTGGGTTGGTAAGTGTAAACATATACAATACAAATATTTCTGGGAGGTATAGTGCTCTAAGCCCAAATTCGGCAAAGTTTCTCTGTATAGGTCCGGAGAGTAAATAGTTTAAGCTTTGTGGGCTCAATAGTCTCTGTGAACTCAATTCTACTTAAGGCAACTGAGGCAATATATGTAAATGAATGTGCATAGCTGTTTTCAATAAGTAGATAGCGGGCAGGATTTGACATCGAGGCTATAGTCTACTGGCCCCTGCTCCAAACAATTGTTTATATAGTCAACAGAGCTACTGATGATACGGATTCATTTTCATCAATGTTAGATTTATCGACCTCTAGGTCCTCTTTCCCCAGTCATTCTTAGCATCTTTGTAGGTTTCTGTTAAGTTTTAAATGTGTTCTTCAATGCTCTCGTCTCCTCACCCTATAAGCTATGGCACCCCCACTCAAGCGATTTCAGTCAACATCAATTTGCCAATGATTACTCTACCTCTATCCTTACTCAGTCTTCCAATCAGAACTTCAGGCTGCTATATTTTCTCTTGGCTAGCTTGTCCTAACTAAGGTCATTATCCTCTTCCCGTCCTCTCACCTCCAAACACACCTGCTGTATCTATAGTCATCTATGTGATGCTGACATGGGGACTCTACAAACCTCAATTTTGCATGCCCGGGGACACTGTAGGGACATGACAGGATTAGAGGAGAAAGATTTTTCTCTGTTTCCTGCTGACTGGCTGTGGGCTTCTTGTCTGCTTGTTGTTTTTGTGAACTTTTCAAAAGCAAAGCTTCTTCCCTCCAGAAATAGACACGTTTTTTCTGGTAACGGTAGCTGAATCTAGTTCTTCCCCAAACTGCACAGTGACACCACACTCCCTCATTTTCTCACCCTAGACACCAGTCTTAGTTCTGGGTCCGAGTCCTCCAGGGGCCCTCTTCCAGTCTCAGAGACATCCGAACTGTTGAGCTGACAGAACCTTCTGATGCAGTGGTTCTCAACCTTCCTCATGCCGTGACCCTTAATACAGTTCCTCATGTATTGGTAACCCCCAACTGTAAAATTATTTCCATTGCTACTTCATAACTGTAACTTTGCTACTGTTATGAATCATAATATAAATATCTGATATGCAGGATATATTTTCATTGTTACAAATTGAACATAATTAAAGCATAGTGATTAATCACAAAACAATATGCAATTATATATTGTGAAATATTTATGTGTTTTACAGTGGTCTTAGGTAACCCCTGTGAAAGGGTCGTTCGACTTCCAAAGGGGTCGAGACCCACAGGTTGAGAACCGCTGATGGAAGATTGGCGTTCTGAGTGTACAGGGCCCCTGCTTCAAGTTTTTAAGTTGTGGCAATTGTAACTTCGTCCTTGGATTCCCCAGCCTAAGTGGTTGCTTGCTTTAATTGCTTCCTCTGTTATAACCTATTCTTTTGCGCTTCTCTTGTTTTTTCAGGTAGTTAAAAACTTCCCTTTCACATGCTCGTTGTGGTTTTGTGTCCAGACTGAACTTCCAGACAGAGCTCTGAATTTAGATTTTTCTTTTATATAAGAAATTTTATTGTCACTCAATAAACAACTTGAACTGACATTTTAAAACTTGTAAAGCAACTTGGCATTCAACAGCTTCAACTACTAACCCCACTCTGGAACAGTGGAACCCTTCACCGCTCCTTGATTTCTCTTCTTTCTCCTCTGGACCTAGTAATTTTCATTTCCCCCACGGTAAGTAACACCCATCAACGTTGCTACCAGTGTTATTATTTTTAGCAAATGGTACCACCAGCAAACAACTCCTCATTCCTTGCACAGTTGTTCAAGTTGTTTGTCTGGCATCCTTTTTTTTTTTTTCCATTCTCTCAACCTGTCTCTAATTGCTGAACAAGGCCTATATACCCCGCTTTCTGAAAATATTTACATCTGTCTGATTTTCTGTGTCTCGATGCCTACCTCCGCCCCCCTCCCAGCTCAGGCCACCACCATGCCACACGTGGAACTGGATTACCACCATCTCCCCACATCTCTGTAGCTTCTTTATCTTTTATTTGCATCAAAGCCCTAGAGGTGCCTCAAAAACATCTAGTGAAATAGTTTCTGGAAAATGTCCATCCTTGACATCATTTATACATTGCTCTCTGATAACTGCCGGCCTAGCTCTGTTCTTCCCTTTGCAGATTCCACCTCTACTCCCTCATTAGTTTTGGAATACGATAGAGGTTTTTATTGGCATTCTTGGTGTATGCCGTTCCTGCTGGAGATGCGCTCCCCCTTTCCCTCCATGTCCTTTAAGAGTTGTATAAATGCCACTTTTTTTAGAGGTGGCTTTTCTGGCATCCTAGAGCAGGCGATAATCCCTTGCTGTTTGTTTCCATACATCATGGAGCATCCACTGTTTTTACTGTCACACTCAGCAAACTTTTGGGAAGCTGTTTCTTAGCCGTCTTCTTCCATAGTTGGTAAGTCTGATGGTTGCAGGCACGGTGTTTGTCTTGCTCAGGACAATTTCCCTCAAACCTCAGATTCTTTACAGCACAGTAGATGCCCAACAAATATTTGCTGAAGTCAACGATTTCGCCTTTATAAACTTGTCATAGGGCCTCTGAGGTGATTACATCAGGTACACAGATCCCCAGATGCACCCAAATCCCTCATGACTGGCTACAGCCACTTCCTTGCAAGCCTCCTTTGGCTTGTTCCTCTTACATGTCCTGGCACTAATCCTCCTCTGTGGGTCCTTACGGGGGATGGAAGGGAGGGGGTGAAGGGGAGATTAATCAGAATTTACCACGTTGAGCTGGGCTTGAGACCCAACATGGCACAGTCTTATAGTCCAACAGAGCCCCATGGTATCACTCAAGTCCTCTGAGCACCTGTCACCAAGTGCATAGGTGTGCTTTCTGCACGTAAACTCTAGCAATTGAAGGCAGGGATGTTCCTCTACTTCTAACAACCAGAATGTTACTGTTCTACCCCAAATATTAAAGTTGTCGTTTCTCTAAGGTTTGCTGAATTGTGGCCATTATTTCTCAAATGACAAAAAGCGGGGAAAAGACTGGGCACCCTTACAGCTAAAACATATCTCCAACCTTCATAATACATGATATTGAAGAGGCAGATCATGACAATAGAGTATGAGCAAGTGGTCAACATAAAGAAAAACCGGGAAGCCGTTGGGGGACAACACAAGTGCACCCGAGGGAGCAGATTCAACAAATACATATGTGATTGGGTGACCCTTCCAGGGTAGTGCTGAATGAAACCAACGAGCCGGCAAGGAAACAAGCCAAACAACTACAACCGGAAGAACTTTCCTGTCGCTTCCTCAACAGATCTGACCCAAGATGAATGAACGCTTTCCTGGAGAATAATGCGTCTTTCCCCTTCAGCTGAGCGTTTTACCTTTTGGACTGTATTCCACACACGTTCTTTATCGCTTCTTCTTCCTTCAAGGGTGTCCATAGCATCTGCCATTACCGACTGCAGCTGTGGCAGCAAGATAAAAATTATCAGTGTGCAATCCACACGGAAATAACTTCTCTAAACACACAGATTAAAAGCTAATTAAAAAATCATTTGTACGCTGATGATTTTATTACTCATCTCCCCTACCATGAGCGCCACCTCATCTTTGTCTCAGTCATTACTAAGTCTTCGTGCAGATACACCATTCTGAAACAATGAAAAAGATTTTGCTGGAGAATGTGCAGGGAACGTACAGGCTTTCGCGTAGTACCTGTTGAAGTTTTGGAAAAGCAGGTTTGGATTGTAAAGAATGACGGCCCGAGTCCATTCTCAGGAAATGGCATGTAGTTCATGAACGCATTTTAGTATTTTCTCCGGAGACTAAGGTGTCCTCATTCTAGCCATCATCCAAAACGCTCACCAGAGGACACTATGGAAGCTGCCTTGTTCTATTGTCTTTTAAAGGGTCTAGCTCATTTAAATTCTCCTCCTAGTCTTTTCTAAGCTAAAATGTCAAGGTTTTTCAATTTTTAAAAAAGATCCCAGTCTATTTTCAAATAAAAAAAATAGTTAAAACGTTTATTCTTGCCCTAAACAGGTATCTTTTTTTTATAATTGAAAACAACGCTCCCAAACTATGTGGTAACGGACACTCACAGAGCTCTGCCAAGTGCCAAGTCAGTTCACTGGGCCATTGAGCAGTGTGACCCTGGAGATAATATTCCCGTGCTTCCGGTGCTGCAGAGCTTATACAGGAGGGCCGCTAGTTGCGTCACTCAAAAGTCTATTGAGCCATCACTCAATATGCCACCTGAACAGGAAGTACTAGGATTTCCCTCCCTCCTCAAATTAATCATGCTCACAAGTTTGAAAATAAAATCTATTAGGGTGACAAATTTTGCAAGATACATGATTTGTGTATATTCCCAAACATTTACATTTCTCTTCTGATAGACATGTAGAGAAATGAGGAGAATATCCTTTGAAATCCCATTTTCCAAAGTTTTAGATAGAGGAATATCACACGTTATTAAGGCTGGCTGTAACGCTGGTTTGGTCCTTCGGGTGTGTACTTTGAAATAGAAGTACCGTATTTCCAGAAAAAATAAAGCCATAGATGGGTGCCTCCTTAGGAAACCCCAAATGTAGAGCGCTTCCCATTTTCTTCATTTAAGTCCTGAGTGTGTTTTTCAGGTAGATAGGCATCTTGCTGGCTTCTTAAATGAACTCTTTCTTTGTCTCCTTTGATCTCCCAGGAGCACTGATCATCTAAAAGCGGCTGTTCTATGCACTTTGAGAGTGCCTTCCTGACTGTGAACCTGATGTCTTATGAACCACTCACCCTCTCAGGAGGTGTTTTTGGCACACAACCATAAAGGTGTAGGAAGTCTTATTGCCAGTTTTGGCTTAGTAATTCCTTGATGAATAGGCTTTCTAATCGTTAGCATGCATGGTTTTATTATTTGGCTAGTAAGATAGCCTTATATGTTCACTCTGATGTCAGTATTTATTTAATATACTTTAGCAGGCTTAGATGAACATTATAATGTTGCCAATTCATTTCTTGATTGATTAATTTGTTACATTTTTTAAAAGCGCAAAGAGGGAAGCTTCCTTTAGTTATCTGCAAATTACAGGTGATCAGTTTGGGCTGTTCTCATCCTCGCTATGTGAATTCAATTCAGGTCTATAATTAATTCTAGGTAACCTCAATTAAAACCTCAAAATAAAGAGGCCTTCCCTAATACACATTTGGATCTTCATATGGAGTAAATGTTACTTTTCCTTGAATAGCCAATTCACTGTTTAGTAATTGTTTTTCAAATGAGGTGCTAGCACTTCTCATATTAATTATGCATATTTTATTCACATCTGCTTGAAGAATGTATTTATGAAATATTCCCGCAATTTGATTTTGACACTGGATTTCTCTAGGGCCATGTCTTTTTTTTTTTTTTTTTGAGTTAACTGGCTTTCAATGAAATGAGTAATCCAAAAATTAAGACTAAAAGTGTCTTTCAAACAACTTTGCTTTATTGACTTCACCAAGGACAAGTGCGTGTTAGAAATGCCAACTATATGGTGATACTGGACTTGATCCAAGAAATTTGAAAGATGATTAGTGGGGTGTCAAATTGCTATTCAGTAATTACACGTTTGCCCTCTCACGTTTCCATCAGAGAGAGCCTTCGATAGGAACATCAGAGAGTTTAGGGAACAATTGATTAAAATTTCACTTTACTTAAAATTTTAAGTATGGCTAATTAGCCTCTTGCTATGTTTGGTCACATCACAAAGTTCTTGCTGTAAAAAAGTGGAAGCAGTGAATGTGCGCTAAGAAAAAACCAGACCCACACACGTGCCCTGCTTCTTCACTGGAACGCTTCTCGAGGGTCAGGCAGGTTGCCTTCACAATGTCTTTACTATCACCAATCGCTCCCCACAGACCACATCCCTTTTCTCTTGGCTCAGGGCCAGTGAAAGCTTAAACAAAGGAAAACAAATACCATTTCTGCTTCCTGTTGACTGATGTCCTGTAGATAGGGGATCGTTGCCAGCTCTGCCATGGCTTGATTAATCACCTGTGCCTGCTCCTTGACTCTCTGTAGCCGGCTGAGGAGGCTGGCGTATTGCAACTTCTCCATCACACCTGAGCACGCCCGGAAACTCCCCTAGTCCCGCAGTAAAAGAAAATGGTTCAGAACAAAACTACAAACAAACAAACAAAAACAACCCCACCTCTCTTAGGGTTTGAAGTGAAGTTTTGTTATGATACAGATGCGTTGTTTCAAGCAGTGATATCTGATATCTGATACACATGTATAGAAACACATTGATACCTTTCAAACCCTTCCTTTCAATCAAAGGGGGGAGCATTACATGACTCTTGAGAGGGGGTCACATGTCCTCTTCATAAGGCAGCTACACTAGGGAGAGAGAGAGTTGAAGTTCAAACCGTGCCAGACTCCCAGTGGTGGTCCATCAGGGTGGTATCTTCCTGGAAGCTTTGCCAATGCATCATAAGTGTTAAGAGCTGCCCACTCTCTTACTTATGTAAAAGGGAGGGTTCTAGAAAACGCTATGCACATGGAAACCTGGTTATCCCCCAACATTATGTTATGTTAACATTTCAGTTCTGCTCTTACCGAGCTCTGAGCTCTGTTCAGATGGATTTGCCTTGCACACCAACGCTTCTCCTTTTTGACTTTATAGCACTTTGCCCTGGCCCCGATGACCACCCCAGAAACTGCCTTGATCCATTTTGAAATAGACTATGGAGTAAATGCATAAGGATGCTCACGAATGTATTGGTAGTTAGGAATGTTATAAAATAGAGTCCGTGACAATAAGCCACCATTCATCTGTCTGTTCGTCTTACTATGGAGGCTTTTGAGTGGTGGTGATGCCGCAAGCTATGCTGCCCGTGTTTCAAATGCTAGCAGGGTCACCCGTGGTGAACAGGTTTCAGTGGAGCTTCTGTAAGGAATAGTCAGCTCACTGCTGAGGAGTTGGTCCCTGAAAACCTCATCAAGAGCAATGGAATGATGTCCCCAAAGTGTGACTAGGGGAGAGCTACCTCCTCAAAGTAGACTCCACCTTAAAGACTTGAGTGAAGCAATACTTTCAAGACCTTCATTTAAATGACTTAAAAAGAGAAGAGAAAGCTGCAGACATCTATTAATAATTGGAAGATGCAATGCACAAAATATGAATCTAGGAAACTAAAAGTCATTAAAAATGAAAAGGAACTCATAAAGATTGAGATTGTAAGCATTAGTGAGCTGAAATGGATTGCTATCAGCCATTTTGAGTTGGATACTCATATGATTTCTTGTGCTAGGTGTAACAAATTCAAGAGGAATGGTGTCATATTCATCATCAAAGAGAATATTTTGTGATTTATATTAAGGACAATGTTATATTTGTAATAGGAAAAGATCTATATGCCCATAAGTAAGACCAGTTAATATAGACATTATTCAAATATGTCTACCAATCACAAACCAAGGAGGAAGAAATTGACTTCTTTCAACTTCTTCAGTATGAAATTCATGCATATTCATGCAATCAAGATGCACTGATAAATACTAATGATGGGAATATGAAAGTTGGAAACAAAGATAAAGGATAGATAGTTGGAAAATATGGCCTTGTTGATAGTAACTATTGCTGGAGATCACATGATAGAATTTTGCAAGGCCAAGGATTTCTTCATTGTAAATCCTTTTATCCAACAGCATAAATGGTGACTATCCACATGGATCTCACTAGATGGATTATACAGGGGTCATATAGACTACATCTGGAGCAATGGAAAAACTCAACACCATCAGCAAAAACAATGTGAGGGGTTGAATATAGAACAGACCATCGCTTGCTCACTTGTAAGTCAGGTTGAAACGGAAGGAACTTAAAGTCAGTTCATGAGAGTCAAAACTTGATCTTGAGTCCTACTTCATGTAAATTAGAGACCACCTCTAGAACAGATTAGATGCATTAAGCACAAATGACACAAGACTGGATGATATCAAGAACGTAATACATGAAGAAAGCAATCCCCCCGCCATTGAGTCAGCTCTGACTTGTATCTAGAGGAAGAACAGAACGGTTCCATAGGGTTTCTGAGATTATAACTATTTATGGGAGTGGAATGCCTGAGAGTGGCTGGTGCTTTCAACATCTGTTCTTATGACTAGCAGCAAAGTGTAACCCACTGTGCTCCAAGGGCTCTTTGAAGAAAGCAAAAGATCATTAAAACAAAACAACAACAACAAACAGGAAAGGAAGAAAAGATCGAAGTGGATGTCAGAAGAGACCTAGAAACTTGCTCTTGAATGTAGAGTAGCTAATGGGAGAAAGGATCAAGTAAAAGAACTGAAGAGGAACATTTAAAGAGCTTCATGAGAAGACTACAGAAATACAATGAAATATGTAAAGACCTGGAGTTATATAGTTAACAAAGAACATGCTCAACATGCCTTAAGTTAAAAGAACTGAAGAAAAAAACCCAGCAGGATTCTATGGGCAAAATCTGTGGGCGAAAGATGAGGCTTTCTGACCCTATAAAGTTTTAAAGTCTTAGATGCCCTTTATATGGTGGTTATAAGTTGTAATCGACTCAGTGTAGTGAGTCTAAGGGAAGTGTTTATGGGCTAATAGGAGAGGGTACCCCCCAAACTGGATTATTTTTCAAAGCTATGTATGTAAATTTCTTTTACAAAACAACCTTACCACCGTCAAAGTACTCTCCATTACACTTAATGCATTTGTAAAATCTGCGATTCCATTCTTAGAAACATTTTCCAAACTCATCTCTTTGGATGGCTGACAGCACCTCCTCATTTCGTTTTCTTCACCTCATCTATGTCATCACATTGCTGTCTTTTCATGCCCCTCTGCATTTCCAGAACGAAGTTGCACAGGGCAAGGTCAGGAGAGTCGGGGGTGCATGAGGCAAGAGAGGCATGCTGGTTTGGGCCAACAACAAAACACTGACACACTGAGATGGCTGAGGAGGTGCATCGTTGTGCTGCAAAACTAGTCCCTGGCCTGCCACAAATTGGGCCTTTTGGGGCACACACTGTTATGCTATCTTGATTAACAGTCTGCTTGATTAACAGTCTGACCTGGTGGAATGAACACCAGATGCACTATCCTCCTCACATAAAACAAAACAAAACAAAAACTAAAACAAATGAGCATCATCTTGATCTTTGATTTCACTTGAGCTTTTTTAGGGCGAGGTGATGATGGCATCTTCCACTGGCTTGATTGAGGTTTGCTTTCGGAGTCATAAGAATAGCACCTATAATGACCTTAGGGGGAAAAATCTGGGTGCCTTAGGAGATGTTCTTTAAAAGGAGGGCATGTTTCCACTCTGCTTTTTCCCCCCTGGTCAGTCAGAACCTGATGCACAAATTTTGCAGCTGGATTCAGACAAGAACATGGAACAAGGGATATCTTGGCTAAAAGTGGAGAATATCAGAAATACGTCTACTTGCGTTTTATTGACTATGGAAAGTCATTTCATTGTGTGGATCATAACAAACTATGGATCGCATTGTGAGAAATGGGAATTCCAGAATACGTAATTGTGCTCATGCAGAACCACTGCACAAACCAAGCAGTATTCTTCAAACAAAACCAGGAGGTGGTGCATGTTTAAAAATCAGGAATGTTGTAGGTCAGGGTTGCTTTCTTTCATCAAATTTACTTAATCTGTACGCTGAGCAAATAATCCAAGAGATGTGCTATATGAAGAAGAATGCGGCTATCGGGATCGGATGAAAGCTCATTAGCAACTTGTGATACGCAGAGGACATAACCATGCTTGCTAGAGAAATGAGGCCTTGAAGCACTGGCTGATGAAAGTAAAAGAGAACAGCTTTCAGTATGGATTACGACTCAATGTAAAGAAAACCAAATCCCCACAAGTCGACCAATAGACAACATCATGTGAAGTGGAAAAAAGTCATCGTCAAGTTTTAATCATACTTGAATCTACAGTCAATGTCCCTTGAAAGCAGCAGTCGAGAAATCAAACAATGCAATGCACTGGGTAACTCTGCTGTACAAGACCTCTTCAGAGTGCTAGAGTGCAAAGATATCACTTTGAGGATGATGGTCACATGCTTCTGGAAGCTAGATAATGAATAAGGAAAGAAATGAGGCATTTGAATTATGATGCTGGTGAGGATATTCAACGTGGACTGTCCGAAGAACAAACAAACCCGCCTTGAAAAAGTACAGCCAGAATGCTTCTTAGGAGTGAGGATGGAGAGACTCCTTTGCCTCACATACGTTTGACATGCTATGAGGCAAGATTAGTCATGGGAAAAGATATCATGCTTGGTAATGATATCTTTTTCTCTGGGGTCAGAGAAAAAGAAGGCCCTGGATGAGATGGATTGACAACAGTGATTGTGAGCATGGTGGAGGACCAGGCAGTGTTTAGTTGTATGGTCCACTGGGTCACGATGTATTGGAACTGACTTGCCTGCATCTCACAAGAGCAGCAGCAGCAGCAACCATAATAAGGTGCCCCATGTATGTGTTTGCTACTGTGATCTACAAAAGAGCAGGGATTGCCTTTCTAACAAGTTTAATACGAATTCTAGTGCTTGATAAAGGAGGCACCGTTTATTATAAAGTTATCAGGTTTATATTTAGGAAAAGTACTGTTGACAAAAGAACCTTGGGCTTCTGTCATATTTGGCGAGTTCGAGTTCGGAGAAATGGGCCATGCACATCCTGATGTTCAGAATATGAAGGCTGGGTGCCCAGTACCCCTTCATGACAGGCTTCCTCCACGACCACCTGGATCAGAATTCCTAGGTTCATTCATTACATGGACAGAGTCCTGGGTTGGGCCTGGCTCAACGAATCAAAATCTGTTGATATGTGGCCCCAAATACAAGAATTCTACTCAGGTTCTCCCCTTGCCCCAATATATATATTTTTTCAATACAGATGTTTGAGAGCAAGCCGTTCCTTTAACGTTAGTCTTTGAATAAGTTTATAATCTGCGTATCAACCTGGTATTTTTAGTGGCCTCCTGTGCATGTGAGAGGTGGTCACTGAAGGGGGAAGTCGGCGGAAGAGTCCATGCGGTTGCATGGTGATGCCGGGGAAGCATGTTGAAAGTACCAGGGGCTCTCAAAAAGGCCAACCC